ACAGGTTCATACAACATAAGTCCAGCTCTTACACTCTATCTCACTTTTATCATTCAGACATACTTCTTCTCTTGGTCTGACTACTCACTTGAATCAGAATGAAACGTGTACACTTTTGTTTTTAGGTTTTTATGTCTACACTCTTTTGTAATCCAACCAAATGCTAGATGTATATACCAAAGTCTTATTATACTCCCTTGAAAGACAAGTTTTAATTGTTAAGCTGGCACACTTTGTCATTTATAAGTTATATTGTTATTGTTACTTTTATGTAGCAGGAGCTTGTGCAAGAAAGTATGCTTAATATCTTCTCCCTCTGTCTGGTTCATTCTACTAAGAAATTTTAAACATTTGATTAGAGAACAGTAGAGATAGTGAGATCCAAACAGATTCACTATAAGCTTTTGTTTTGTAATATTAAATAAAACTTCAAAATCTTCCCTTTTCTAGAGCCATCACCTCTGATATCGATAGCCCACTACCAACTTAATATATGCTTTTGTAAAGATTTCATAGTATGTGTGTTGGCTCCATAATAGATCTGTGGATTTTGGTGCTAGCAAGTCGGTTTAAGTCCATGTGATACCAAAAAATATTCCTTGCACTTTTAAGCTGCATTGTTTATTATAAATGTGATAGTCAATCCCTTAACATGGATGGTAGGTGGTAGAGTGCTGCCGACTAGGTGTCTTCCCTCTGGTCAGTAGGTTCAAAATAAAGGATGAAAGTATAGTCTGCATACTTTTGCCTTAAGTATAAAATACAAATACAGAAATTTCATAACTTTGATATTTCAACCGTTACTTAAGCTATTATAGGATAAGTAACACATTGGAAAAGAAGTATTCCAATAGAAAAAAAAAATTCTCCACTATGGGAGGTACTAAAGTATGTTATGTTTTTGTATATTATAAATTTTGATTCATTTATGTTGACCGCTTAGTTTTCTGTACTGCTTACTTGGCACGTTGATAAAAAACAAAACAAAAAAAAATTACAAGTTGTGAAATTTCAACAATATGAAGTATAAAATACATTCATAATTCTATGTTCTTCTTTAAGACAACCATATTAATCAAATAACAGTTGAATAGGCTTAAACTATGAATATAGTTATTTTATTGTTACCAGCAAATTTACACATTAAGAGAACACTTAAAAATTGGTATCTTATCCATAAAAATAGAGTATTAATTACAATAAGCAATTAAATATTTGCCAGACAGATAGGTTTGATAACATCTGGGTAAATAAATTGACAAAGTATATTCCAGCATTTTCAGAAGACTTAAAGCTACAACTTAACACTTGCCTGTCAAGGACTTAAACCCCTGGTGCTCTTTAACTTTTTGGTGCATACTTCTTTTCAGTCATATCACACTCAAAATCATTGTCAGATAATTCAGGTTCTTAGCTAGAATCATTGTCAGTTTGCACAAGTTCAATTGCCTCTTCAAATGTGAAAACATTGGAGCAATTTGATACCATTTTGGGTCCATTTTCTAATAAAAATTAATTTTCAACTACAAATATTATCAATGTTTTGAATAACAACGTATACCATGTTGAATATGAATTGGTGGCTGAGATCATCATCTGTGTATATTAGGCTTTGTCTATTGATTTTATGCACTTCACATTTCTAGCAGGAAATTCAAACCACATTATGTAGTTGCCATACAATGATGGGTGCACCTAAAGGAAGTCTCATAACAAATTTTACAACCTCAGCTTACTCAGTTGAAACCTAAAGTAGGGTCAGAGACTTGATCTGTTGGATTATCCAAGATCTAATCATACATGTAAGGTCTTAAAAGGATCTCTAGCAAGGTCAGTGACCAAAAGTGAATATAAGAGTTTATATTCTGGTAGTATCTTACTGACATACATAGACAAAATTTAACTTTTTGACACCAGTTTTAGATAAATGGGATTATCAGAAATAAAATGACTAAAAAACATTACAAAAGGAATTTTTCTTCATTCACCATAATTTTAAGTCCGCAGTCCTTTGAGTGTTCAAACTGCCTTTTAACAGAAAATCATCTTTATACAGTGGCATAATTTAAATCCAGTCAAAGCTATACTTCACAAAACTACTTTTGTAACCAAAAGCCTGAAAGTAATAGTAGAATCATGGAATTTTGAATGTGCTAACAGAATCACTCATACAGTGTAACTGTAAGTGATAGTTTTTTTTTTCTTACTTAACCCATTGACTGCTGATTTGCTGTATAGGGTATGGTCTGCCTCAAGTAGTTGCATGTGAGTGTGTTGTATATGGTGTATTGTTTGCAAAAATTACACATGCATTTAAAGCAGCTGCAGTTGTAGGGTTAATACAAAAGCTTATGGTTACACTAGAATGTAACATCAATACAGAAATTTTATGATCAAAACTACTTGAATTTTGCAGAATTTGGTAGTCTTAAAAGTAGCTGAAGGCCTCAAATATTGAAGAAATTGAGATCCAGAAATAATTTTAAGCTTCATCCTCTGAAAGATTTTATTATCCAAAGTAAACATTAAGTTGTCAGCCAGCCCATGTAAGAATGTTGAATAAATAAATTATGTCAAAAATCTGTATCTAGTCAAAATTTATTTTTTAACATAAAGAGCTTATACACTATCTTTATATTGTTGTTTTTCATACAAAAAACTAGGAGAGTAGGGTGTGCTTACCTTTTCTAACATGCACCTGCACTTTAAAGCCACAGAAATCAGGCTGAAATAGATATTGTTTGTTTGAGGCATTGTGGGATAATTTTTGAAATGATCTCTTGCAGTTTTAATCATTTTGGGGATTAGTTTGCATTATATAGGTAATCATCAAGTAATGTAGAATGAGGTCATTGAACAAGTACTTAATTATTTAACCCTATAGACACAGGTCATGGGTCAAAGACCATGTCATCACTTTGTTGACTTGCACACAAAATTTTATTGGACTACTATTTTATGAATTTTTGTCTATAAATTTGATATCGAATTGTAGATTATAATTGAAATTTTAGTATTATACATTAATTAATTTCTTAATTTAAAAATAAATATATAAAAAACCATCTAAATATTGATTTTTGGGTGTCACATGGTATGTTGAATGCAGAACTGGTTCGTATTAAATGTTTGTGATGTTCAACTACAAAGTCCTTAGTTTTGTATGAATTAGGAACTCAAATTACTGATATTGACAAGTTAGATATAAAATAAGATCATCCTATTTTTTTCTATTTGCTGAGATATCACTATGTTTATTGAATCAAACACAGTGGCCCCACCCACCTCTTTCCATTTTTGGAAACACTTTCTTATGTACACCTGATTCTGTCTATGACATGTAAATAACCAATCACAAGCTCAGAATGTCCCTCTAGTGGCTTTCTCAGCATTGTTGAAGTATTAGGGCTTCAAACTCATTCTTTTCATACTAGATTCAAAGCTGGTAAGTCTGTAGTTAGCTCGAAATTTCATATTTTTGTAGACCCAAATACAGATAGTTTAGATAGTTTAAGTGTGGTAAATTATAGTAGAATTCTATGGTATTGATACAGTAACTTATGATTTTTGTTTATTTAAAATGTAAATATAAAACCTAAATAAATTATTTTGTTTCACATCCTCCACATGCGAAATTTGATAAGGCTTAGCAACCTATGGCAAGCAGCAAATGAGTGCAAAGATCGTAACTAGAAGAGATAATTGTTTGCTATACTTCTTTATTTACTGTTCTGTGTTTTAAGAAAAATAAGTTTAAGAACTTATTTGTAAATAGTAATAATGTATATACATATATAATGTATCATAACTGAAATGTGACTGTATTTTACAAAATACTAGTCTACTGAAACACAGCCAAGACAGGTCACTTTGTAAATACTAAAGGACAGTTTTATATTCTTGGATATGGTAACATGAGTGCAAGTGTGTCACATCATTGCAACTTCTGTAATGTTAGTCAATATAATAAAAATAATAAATATATATAAATGATGTGTTATGACATTTAAGCTATTTAGACTAAACATTTGTGTTTTCGTGTTATAATTTGTAGTCATTCTAGAATGAAAAAGCGTAATTTGAATTTATTTCCTAATTTTTTATGGTGGTTATGAGGTCGGTCAAATCTACCGAACCCATACAGAGATTCGTTAGTGAGAATAACAGATAAAATATAAAGTTTTTCTTAGAAAATGTTTGATAATTATCTGGACATTATAAAGATTTTGCATGTGAAGTTTGAACATTTTATGATGCATAAAAGTATTTTTAATATTAAAATCAAAATTACTTTGCATTTTGGATAGTAAACATGCAAAAAGAAAAAAGGAATGAGAAAAACATATCTTAAAAAATCTTAAAACTTAAAAAAAGAAATCTGATATTTTGTGTATGAAAGCTTTGTAATATTTACTGATAATCTGTAAACTTTTGTGAAGATACACTTACTAATTTAAAAGTTATAGCATGAAACCTATAACAAGCACAAAATGGTTATAAGGTTGGTCCCAGGGACCGAGTCCATGCTGAAAGAGTTAATCACTTCAGTGGGCTTATGCCTGTGGTTATAAAATACATGTAACTTTTTGGACTCAATGCCTAAGAGTAATTTAAATATGTTATATTTAATAGTTGTTTGTTCCAAAGAGTAACATGTAGTTGCTTCAAGCTACAAAAAACATCTGTATAGATCAGTCACCGTACAGATTAATTTTGCAAATATGTAGGATATTGCAAAGGATTCAGGATTAAAGAAAAACAGGTAATTGTATCTGGTTAGTAATAGTAGAAAATTTTATGATTAAAAAGCAGTAAAGTTTTGCACAAACCAAAGAATATTTGTTAGTTATATACAAAAATAAACTAATTATCAAATATCAGAGTCATTGGTGAATTTCAAATGAGATGCATTAGTATATTACTAAAGAAGGTTATATTAATTACTCAGGAAACATGCATCAGAGATTATGAATTTGTACTAAAATCAGAACAAAATTGATGGAGAAAGGAACACTTGGAATGAAAACAAAAATTTAGCTGAGATACTGTATTTGTTTTTAATCAGTTATCACTGTTACAAAGAAAGGTAATAAATTATGTATGATTTTAGTAAACAAAAGTACTAAAATTAAGTATAATATAATTATGACAGGAGTGGAATGGGAAACAAAACTTATAATTTTGGTGTGTCAGTACATAAACCAATTGCCAGTTTTGAAGAACATAATAAGTTAAGTAATGCTATCTACATGTATAATAATGTCAAATACATGAACAAAAACAACAAGGTAAATTAAAGTAAAAGTTTCCATTATTTTAAATTACAGAAATATTTAGGGTGCTAAATCAACTTTTGTTATATTAAACTTAAGAAGTAAAACTGAGAACAAATGGAATTTTAACCCATGACTCCATTTTCAGAACATTTTTTTTATCTAACTAAGCTGTAGGGTTTGCGTTAAGTGTCATTTCTATCTTCAGTTTGACCGGTAAACGTGAATTTTGGGCAAGACTTTGAACTCTTCTAATTAACTTATCAAGTACAAAATGTCTTTGTTGTTCATCTGGATTTCTAAGCGCTGTAATGATTTTCCAAATGTAGAAGTGTTTTAAGAGTGGCACACTGTCATCTAACATTACATTTCTTTCTGAAGAAGTGAAAACAGAGATTGAACAGGATTTGAACCTGTGACTCTGTATTGCGGTATATACATTTAAATATACTGATGGTATTTCAAGTTTTAGTCTCTTGAAGAAAATCTTTACATTTATTACCTTATGTTATTGATTATTATGTGGCTTACTTGAAAAATATTTTCACTTTTTTCTGTTTTAGAATGGAGAATTAGACTTGAAAAATATTGATCCTGAGTTTATCAAGGAGCCTGTACCAGGTTAGTTTTGTAATTAAAGTGATACTTGAGATACCTTATTACAAGGGTTCTTTGTATGTTGTTTTTCATTGAAGTATTTTACTAAGAGTAAATGTACGTGTGAGTGGAGTTTTATGGTATTTTTATTTCCAAATTGTATTTGATATATTAGTAAATTTGCATAAGACATGTTTTTCCTTAATTGTTTTTCTGAGTGATGAAATCTTTTGAAGGAGTAAACCACTTTTTTGTATATTTCAGCTTCTGTGGGTAAAAGTCAGGGAATGAGTGCGAGTGTTCAGGATGTGGACACAGCCTTTCAGGGTTTCTCCTATGCACCTCCTCTTTACCTTGACAATTGAAGATAACATCTATATATTGTCCTATCAGTCTTCTGTTACTGAAGTAGCATACATCTGAGTGCAAGGACTGAGTTACATAAATTTTACAAGACATTTTAAATCTAAGTGTAATGTCTGGGGAGTGTTTCAAGTGTATAGTGTTTTTATTTATAAAATTGGATGATTTTAGCTATACTGAAATGAAGTAAGATAAACAGTGTATTATATATAGTCAGTACTTGTGATTAGCTTTACAAATACATGTGAACTACTATTTCAGAAAATAGCTTGGAATTTTGTGGAAAGCCATGAGGAACTTTTATTATGCTAAAATATCATGACAGGTAGCAAATTATTCATGTTACATAAACATGCCTGTAACTGAACATTTGTAACTATAATCAAAACACAAGGAAAAACAGCTAAAAAACTTCATATGGTCTGTGAGGTGATGAATGTTTGTCAGTAATGGTGAAATAAAATTTTTTCAATATGAATAAGTCCATTAAGAAATTATTTTGTTTCTTAAACTTGCCTTAATGTATGCTTTATCATATTTTACAGCAGTATTTTTTGTCACATATTGATTTAAATATTTCTTAAAACTGAGTTCACTCTTTTAGTGTTGCATCATATTTAAGCCTCAATTGTTAAATTTGTATTAGTTTGACTCATTTACGTAAAACAATAATAAATGTTTTGTTTAATATATCTAACATTTACTTTGAATGCATATCTTTTTTTTTACATCAAATATTGTTGAAATTTTTTAAAACAAATTTTAACCCTTTACCTCTTGGAAGTTTCTGGTGGCAAGTAATATTCCTTCAGTTACTAGTAAAAGTCATACTTGTGATCGAAATATATTTTTTAGAGGCATACCATAAAAGATGATGATAATCTAGCAATAAATATAAGATTACTTTTACCAAAACACTGTTTTTATCCCAGTAGTAAAACAATTAATCACTAGATTATATTTTGTGGCCCAAAAACATTTAATAGACTTTAAAATCCATTTTAATAAATGCTGGTTAAACTCTGGGGAAGACAGTTCAAGAACATTTCTTCAACTTGTTTGGTACACATAGTACTACTATGTTACATGTTAAGTGAGAAAATGAATGTAAAAATAATGTTCTCAGAATTTTATTTGTAGTGTTTTGGACTTACAACACTTTTTTGCAATAATATTAAATGATTTATCATTTCTAAGAAATGAATATGGAAATGACTGTCTGTTAAGTCATGTTATGCTTCCTGCAATTTATATTTGTGGAAAATTAATGAGGTGGATTAGTTTAAAAATGTGTGGGCACACACTTCTATCATGATGAAATATGTAAATAAAAAAAAAAAAACCATTAAATTCATTTAGGTTTTGATAATTTTTTACAATTAAAATTTATTGAAGTATACTAGTTTATTAGAATTCTGTGTTATGAGCAACAATTGTTATAATTCAAAATCTACTTATTTCATAATTTTTATCTTCTATAAAATTATTTCACAAATATGAAAAAGCTGATACAATACTATTCTGATGTGTACTATGCAAAAGTTGTTTTATGTGTTGAAGACAGAGACTGAAATTAATGTGAATTGTTTTTTATTTTTTATAACATTTTCCTTAGTGATATTTTAGAAAGAGAAGGCTTATTGGAAGTTTTCTAATGAACAGCACCACATAGTGGTAGCTTAAGAGATGATGATTCTTTTTTTTTTATGTACCTTCTCTAAGTCAGGGAATTGAAGAACAATTCATGAAACTGATTGAGACTTTGCTCTGGGACTTGTTGCAAAGCAGCACCAGCCATAATAAAACACTGAACATAGACAAAGTTAATTAAATGTGAAAACTTTATGATATTAATTTTTTTTTATTATTTCCTAAGTTCTAGAGTTTTTTGTATTGCAATTAGTTTAAGAGACTGATATTCTTGCCCTATTATGAAAAAAAAACACTTGTTATCTATGCTTGGGCAACAATGAAAGTTGAATGCCATTGCATTAATGACTATATATTAATTTGGTGATTTTGATTCCTAAATTCTAATTCCTATATAATGCTTTTCTGCATCCTTAAAACCACTAATACCAGATACATTTATTGTTATCACTATTATGTTGTTGCTGAGGCTTTTACTCCTTGTTTGTTTACTACCAGTGAACTTCACATCTTTTCATTGTTTCTCATGTTTGCTTGTATATTTGCATCTCTTTATGTTACACCTATTCACACCATTACATTATATGGACATTTTCAAGATTTTATCATAGTAACACTAACTATACTGTTCACCTTTGATGTTTGTGCATCATTAATAAATAGCATTATACAATTTTTGGTAAATACTAGTGTATGACACTTGACTTTGGTTCACAACATCAAATAATAAACCAATTATCCACTCACATAATCTTGATTATAACCTTTTTGTAAACAAATTTGTTATGTTTATATTTGGTGCATGCTCTTTTGATACATACCATTCTGCAGTACAGGTGCTTTTAGTACACATATACAGCTCCATTTGGCACACACACCATTTAACAATATAGCCTTATTAGTATGCATCATCTTATGTTACATGTTTTCTTGGCACACACTACTTTGTGTTGTTTGCAGTTACTCCTGGATCCTACCACTCCATTTGATAGATATTCTTGACATGCAGTACTTTTATTGCTCTTTCTGTAAGTGTAATCTACTTCACCTTTATTTTTCAGAAGTCTTACATTTTTGTTTTAGGTCTTCACTCTTTAATTACACAAGTGATAATTCATTATGCACAACTTGAGAACTGTTTTCTAGTCCATTTCAACTTTGTAATATCTTTGTAGTTAAATACATGTCTATCTTCAGCTCCATTCCTATGTCTAAAAGCTCTAAGAATTTCGAATTAAAGTGAGCTTTTCAAAACACAACTTCAGTCATCTGTGAATTAATCTATTATGATCTGTAGATTGTTGAATTCTGTTAGTTTTGTTTTGCTCTGTTGTCCAAAAACTATTTTTTCTCCATCATGATGGACTTCCTTATGAAAGTCCTGAAGTAGTCTTGTTATGATGTTATTACAGGATGACATTGCTGTGTGCATCACATAGTAAATAGTAAAGTAAGTTGAACTTGCTTCAAGTTTATAGTATGTAATAAGCAATATATGCTCTGTAGATTGTTGTATTGAAGGAAACTTTTTTAGGATTTTTATCATTCAAGGTTTTCTTTCTTATGGAAACTACCATTATATGTATTACTCTTTCTTTAATTGTAAGTCTAAATGTGGAGATTATACATGATGCCATTTTATTCCGTTTTATATTTCAGTTATGTAATTAGATAAAAACCAGAAACTACTTAACAGAGTTATTTTAGTATTTTTTTTTACCTCTGTGGCATCCCGTGATGGCTGAATGTTAAGTTTGAGTTCTTATAATTCTGAAATCAGGAGTTTGATTCATCATGGTGGACACTGTGCATGTAATTCATTGTGTAGTTTTGTGCTAAACTACCAAAATGACAACAAATTTGCTTTGGCATTACCTATCACTCTTGTTTATATTAATTTATAGATAAAATATGAAATGATCTTTAATTACAGTATGCATTGTTCCCAATTTTTATGAAATTAGGATATGTAGTTGTGTACATGGTCTAAGTTAGACCATTCCTTTAGATTTTCTCTTATGTTCCTGCCATCAGATAACACCAGAGTAGAAAAATACATGAATGCCAAAATGCCATATTTTTTAAGTCTTTATTATCAGAGAAATTAACATCTGGTATTAACATTGTAGATGCAGAATACTTTGTTAAAAGAGCACAAGAAAGCACAGAATAGGATTAAGTTATCAAGTTTATATTAATCCTTCCATTAAAGATTTCTAGCATCCAATATATATAAAGCAGTATAATTATTTAATGAACCAGTTTTAATTGTGAAAAAACAATGTGTTAATATCTATGTCTGACCAGCTTATTGAATCTTTCAAATACTGTTAGTATTTACATATCATGTTTTGTTTTGAAGTAAATATTATGAAATACATGTAATGGTTAGCTCAGATCTTTAATTTTTTGATTATAAATTTGAATTATGAATGTTCTCAATAGCTATTTGTGTGTCACTTAACTCCTGCCTATTAATATATCCTTCTGGTGTAGCATTCGTTATTTTATTAATTTCTTTGTAAGTTTTGAAATTATTACTGCTAGTGTTGTAATTATTATAAATGTCTCTGCTTGAGTAACTGTTAAGACCAATTTATCAAAAGTTGCATTTTGCATCTTAAAAAAAAGAAACTGTAGAAAATGTTGTGATAAAGATGATAAAATCCATAAGGAAACTATTATATATTTTTTTATTATTCCTTAAAGGAAAACCGATACTGTTTTTTGTTTTGTGGTGGTTTAATGTTTTCAAAAACACTTAGTACACAAATTATGCATTTTAATTGATTGGATGTAAATGATTTACTTGAGCTGTCTAAGGCATTTGAAGGTTATTGTAATGGTTGAATTTTGTTTTAACTTATAAACATCCTCATATATTAGTCACATAAGAATTAGTTAATTTAGCAAGTTTCTTTTTAAAACTAAGTTTGTTCAGAGATCATCTACTGCAGTGCATGTCTCCATTTTTATTAAACTACAAAAGGTGTTTTTTTAAATAATCTTGTGCAGTATTTTTATATTGGTTACAAGATTATCATTAACAACAGTTTTGTATATTTTTAGGTATTAAAATAAGTAATATATATCGATAATACAACATGAAGGCAGTGTTTTCCATGTAAGGCGTTGTTTGTCCCTGTGTTAGAGCTCTGAACTTCAGAGCTGGTGTACCAGGTTCAAATCCATTTAATACCATTCCCCACTTTTTATGATGTAGGTAGATTATAAGAGTGATAGTAAACTCTTAGTGTGGATTGTAGGGTGGCTGTCTTCCCTCTGCAATGGCAGAAGTTCAAAATTAGGGATGGTGGCAGATAGCCTTTATAGTAATTTTACCATAAATACAAATACCTCTTCTATATTGTTTTTGATTTACGAGATTTTGGCTACAATTTTAGTAATCTGATCCACGTATTTAAGTCAGTGGACTGACCGAATTAATTTTGACTGTTTTTTTTAGTATACATATTGAAGCATCTGAGACTGAAAACTTTAAATTAAATAGTATGAAATAGAAAACCGTATTTTTTTGTCTTGATTTAACAATGTTAGTAGTAAAACTTATGAAGCAGGTAAACTTCCTTAAAGCAACTTTGTTGAATTTGTTTCTTTATAAATTAATGTGAAACTTATGAATTATTTTCAGGTTATTACCACATTTTTGAAACCAGGAGAATCTTGTTTGAAAGTCATTTAAAGAAATGCGTGATTTTTTTGTTAACTAGCAGTTTTGTTACATTCAATTATTGTATAGTTATGTGGGCTTCTTTAACAAGAGACTTTTATCAAAGTTCAGCTAAACCTTTGATCTAACTAAATAGTAAGTAATACAAACTGTTTGTTAAATTATACGATATTCTGTGTAAAATAACTTTCAAGAAACGAGATGAGTACTGCTTCTAATCTGTTGAATGTCGTTAGATCTATACCTTTGTTCTGAACTGTGATGGAAAGATCATAGATCTTAGGAAATAGCTAATTGTATTACTATTACATTACTATTTACACCTGATTTGTTGTTAATAAACTTAAGGAGCAAATATTTTAAAGCTATTTTAAGATGAACAATATTGAATTTAAACTGTACGATTTTCAACTGTGTAACTTATGATGTACAGAAGTTGTCAAGAGGAGGGGGCAAATTAGGGAGGAAACGATGCGTTTGGTTTTCAAAAATCAAGTTCTGCTATTATGCCATCCACTTGGTTAATTTTATAAGTTTTATTTTTAAAATGTAAAATCCACTTGTATGTTTGTAACTGTAAAACGGATATTTTTTTGAATCACATTTTATCTGATCATTGACAGAAACTTCAAAGAACTGTTACGTTATATTAAACTACAAAAGACGAGTTTCATATGGAAGTGCTCACTATCATGACGCTTGGAACACTTGTGTGATAATACTGTCTGCTTGTATTCTCTGTAACGTTTCTTTTTTATCGTTTGCTTATTTCTATGAAAAATTGCTACTGTTCGTGAGTGCATTAAAGTATGCGTTAACATGGAATACCGGATTGCCCCCCCCCCCTATTTAGGTTGGTGGTTTGGGAGAATGGGAATGGAGTTGAGGCGAAATGTGCTTATTTTTGTGTAAAACAATTATCTTATTACATATTAATTCATATACATGCCCACATATTGAGCTCAAGTTTGTTTTTGTTTTCGTAAATATGGGTGGATGATGGGAGTATAATCCCTGATTATTCAGGAACATTTGTATTAATGATGGTGCATTTTATGATTTTTAATGATATTCTGTTGTTTGTTTTTTTACTTGTTTCTGATAGTGGTAATTTGTTTGTCGTACTTATTAGCATTAAAAGAGTTACGGTATGGATTCCATTCCATTTTTAACAGTTTTATACATTTCGGTTACTTTTTTGCTCCCCACACCTCATTGGTAAGCTTTAGAGCTTATAGTGCTAAAATTCGGGGTTCGATTCCCATGAAGGGCACAGCACAGATAACCCATTGAGCAGCTTTATACTTAACAACATAGAAACAGAACATCAGGTACTGTCAAAAATAGAATTTTGATCACATTTAAATGAATCGGTGTTAGTTTAGCCATTTAGCGCACATAACATGGATATTTTTTTGTATTTGGATTTTTTTGGGAAGAGGTTACAGATTTTTGATAATACAAGTGATCAATTAGAGATCTTAAACGATTCAGTTTTTGAATAATCCTGAATGAGGCATTAGAATATATAGCAAATCTAATTAATCGCCTTTCATATTTGAGGTCAATTAACCAATTGTTTCTAGGTTATCTTTTATTTTATACGCAAGTAGAAAATTTATAATTTTATAGCTGAACTGGATAATTAGATTTTTTTTCAGTAGGAACTGTATGTTGCTATCTTAGAAGCATCGAAACTTGAAATTAATTAGTACATGGATACTGATTAAAAAGGGTATTTACATGAAAATGTTAAATATGTTATTGTAAAGATGATGATAAATTGTTGATTCTTCAGTATTTTCGATTTAATCTACATTTTTACTTCGATGTTTTGTTAATAAATGTATCTGTGTATAAATAAAATGGCAGTTTAGTTACAGTGATGTACGATATAGCAAATGTTGTGTGTGTGCGAGTCGTTCATTGCTTATTTGTAAATTTTCGAACGTTATTACTTTTTTAATTCATTATGAAGAAATAAAATCACTTGTTCAACTGTTGTTTGTTACATCATCGATTCTATATTAATCGTAAGTTAAACTTTACTGTTGAGTGGATTAGAAAAAATTATTTCAAACACAAGTTGTGAGAGCTGTGTTGTTACTATTTTTATTGATTCGTGGTAGATTCAAAATATCTAGGTTAGAATCATATTTTGTGCGTAAATAAATTGATACCACGTGGTCTTTATTATTATTATTAAAAAACTAGTGACATTCAAACAAGGAGTTTTAAAACTTCAATTTTGCAACCACTTTGGCCTATTTTATGGTCGATGACAATGATAATAATTTCTATGCATCTTTGCTAAAACCTCGAGAGATGGTGCTAAGTGCAGTTCATCGGATATACGTGGAACGATATCTTGTTCTCAAAAAGAAGAGGTTCCATTTTCCCTGATGCTGAGTCTCTATACTTAATCGTCTTTTTCTTATTTTTAAATGATCTCCAGTGGCACAGCGGTATGTCTGTAGACTTACAACGCTAGAAACCGTGTTTCGATACCCGTGGTGGGCAGAGCACAGATAGCCTATTGTGTAGCTTTGTGCTTAACTTCAAACAAACAAACTTATTTTAAATGTCCCCTGGTGGGGCAGCGATAAGTCTACGGCTTTACAATGCTAAAATCTGGGGTTCGACTCCCCGTGGTGAACCCGGCAGATATGGACCCGAACGTCTTTGCTTAAAAACAAAATTTTATTTAATTTTTTCTGTAACAACATGATTTTGGTTTGTTTTTTACTACAAGTATTTATTCTCTTAGTTGTGTTTTGTTTATAACAAATTATTTTGACTGGTGATGATATGAGAACTGAGGTGGATCTAGTCACCTAGACTAAAATGGGTGGGTGTTCTTAACTAGCTGCCTTCTCTCTAGTCTATCAATTAAAAATTAAAGAAGACTAAAACAGTTGCTTCTTGTGTACAGTTCCGTGAATTACTGAAGAACAAGCACGTCATTATTTCGTATTATTATCCTTCCATTAAGATTTATAAATCTTTTTCAGATAAGTTGATTTTTAAATACTTGTAAAATTTACAAAAAAATGGAACAACTAAGTCCAACATCCACGGTTATTTACTCTTCGGAAGTAGAGCTCGTTTTTGAATTTCGCGCAAAGCTACACGAGGGCTATCTGTGCTAGCCGTCCCTAATTTAGCAGTGTAAGAATAGAAGGAAGGCAGCTAGTCATTACCATCCACTGCCAACTCTTGGGCTACTTTTTTTACCAACGAATAGTGGGATTGACCGTAACTTTATAACGCCCCAACGGCTGAAAGGGCGAGCATGTTTAGTGTGACGGAGATTCGAACCCGCGACCCTCAGATTGCGAGTCGAGCTCCCTAACCACCTGGCCATGCCGGGCCCCGGAAGTAGAGTAAGTTCCATCCACATCATAAATGGGTCCGGCTTGGCTTCACTCTCAGTCTACCAAGGTTCCATGGCTCGCGACCTGTTGCCGCAAAATTGTGCTCTTCAGTTTGGGCCAGGGGGTACTTTTATAAGATGAATGCTCAAATCGTGTTATTCAAGTAGAATGGACCAAGATTTGAGGGTAGGTACTGTTGACTGGCTGTCTTCCTTCTATTGTATCAGTTCAAAATTTGAGGTGTTTAGCGCAAGTAGTTCTTATGTATTATACTCGAACATCTAAAACAAGCATCATAACAATCAAATGTAACGAGCATAACGTTCACTTCTGGCTTTCTAGATAAAAAATGTTTTATCTTTTGTTTGTTTGATATTAAGTACAAAGCTACACAATGGGCTACCTGTGCTGTGCCCACTACAGATATCGAAACTCAGTTCTTAGCGTTTAAGCCCTCAGACTTACCGCTGAGCTACCAGGGGCGGTAAAAATATGAAATGTTGATTTATCTTTGAACAGCACAAATACTAAATTCCATTTCTATCCATGCGCATAAGCAAGGAAATGGGAACGTGATTGCACTCCTTAAATTGTACAAATATATTTATGCGTAAACTAACCTTAAATACCATAAAAAATGTTCCATTTTCAGTAAAATTTACTAAATTTCTCTGAGGGAACTCTCTTCCAGACCAGTTAGTATGACTTCATCACTCATTTCTTTTTTCCCCCAAAAGTAGCACTCCCGTTTATACATTTCTGCCTACGTTTGCACTCATTTTATAAATTTCTGCCTATGTCCTTGCTGTTAGGCACCGTGATCTCGTTAAAATTCCGAACGAATAATGCAGTTAAATGTATTCTAAACCAGTATTTCTCTATCTTAAATGGGACGTATGAAGTATTTTTCTTAGTATTTTATTAAAGGTAATCAGTAGTATTCATTTCTAATTATTTAGTTGTACATTTAACAACCTTTTCTTGGCTACATAGTGTAGAAGTCATTTTTCTGATAGTATATGCACAATCTTTTTATTACGAACCTAGAATTATAAGGATGTTTAGCATGAATTCTTTCTGTGTTAGTCCATTTCTAAAATTCTATTAGGCTTTGAGAGTCATTACTTCTGTCAGAAGTCCTTCAGCATATAATATGTTCATACTTCTAAAACGAATGAAACACACACAAAAAGATGAACAGAACGTCCTAGATTTTATTCAATAGGTAAAAGAATGAGGTTACATTTGGAACGAAAGACACTGAATCAATAAACGCCTTTCTACCGCATTTGGTAAACAGAAGTACAGAAATCAGTGAAACATAGTCAATATGTATATCAAAAAGCAACAAAACCGAAATGGCATGGTTGGCTTCAATTTCTCGTGTAAAGCTGATGGAAGAGGGTTTTTTGTCATTTTAGTTTGCTGAGATACCAATAATTCTAAATGTCCGATAGTTTTATTATCCGAAATCAACTGAGAAACTTATAAGACAATTCTACTTTCAAACAAGCTTAAAGGTCGTATTTAAACTTGAAAATATTTTTGAAACAAAGTTCGTTTTCTGATTTCTCACCGTTTATGGGTTGTATTCTAAATAAGTGTCGAGACTATAAAGCCCCATGCATTGACAAAACAAAATACAAGAGCTTATGAACACCTACAATTGCTAGTCAAAACCTTGGTATTCAACAGTGAAAAATACAAAGACATAATGTTTATAGAAAACCTTGTATAAGAGAAATTCATAAAATCGAACTTTCACTAAACTCCTTCGTACTCTTAACGATATACAATATTTTCAGTTAAAACATTTTAAACCAGTTGAGTAATTATAACTTCTTTTTTTTTACTTGTTTTCTTAGCTATATTTGTAAAATGTTGTATAACATAAGCTTTGTTTATGCCTACCTGAATTTCAGAATACTAATGATGGAAAGTTAGGCGTCAGAATGTAAACTATTAAACCATCCTCAGAATGATGAAAAAAAGGTAAATTATTATACCATCTTTAGAGTGATAAAAAACAGTAAACTATTAAACCATCTTCAGAATGTTCAAAAACTGTACACTATTAATCCATCCTCAGAATGATGAAAAAAGGTAAACTATTAAACCAGCTTCAGAATGATAAAAAACAGTAAACTATTAAACCATCTTCAGAATGTTCAAAAACATTAAACTATTAAGCCAGCTTCAGAATGTTCAAAAACAATAAACTATTATACCATCTTCAGAATGCTCAAAAACAATAAGCTATTAAACCAGCTTCAGAACGTTTAAAAACAGTAAACTATTAAACCATCTTCAGAATGTTCAAAAACATTAAACTATTAAACCAGCTTCAGAATGTTCAAAAACATTAAACTATTATACCATCTTCAGAATGCTCAAAAACAATAAGCTATTAAACCAGCTTCAGAACGTTTAAAAACAGTAAACTATTAAACCAGCTTCAGAACGTTTAAAAACATTAAACTATTAAACCATCTTCAGAATGTTCAAAAACAGTAAAGTATTAAAGGGAAGAGAAATGTATTTCTGAACACCTCCGGTTGCGTTTTGATCCTAAACTTTCAGTTTTAGGCTAAACGTTTTAAATCGAAATTACTCCCAAGATTTTTAGGTTTTGGTTTTGTAAAATGCCTTCAAAACGTGATCGTTGTTTAAAGGAGACATGATCGTCCATACCGATGAGAACTGTTTATACAGTTAGAATAATAAGTGATGTAGAGCGAAAAGGCACAGCCTTTATAATGGAGTCTTCGTTGTTTTCCACGGAAACGGAAAAATTCACACTGCAGAGCGTTCAGAGCAGCAAGGACTCTGAAGTCATTCTTAAACCGATCAGGAACAACACCTTCATCTGCAAAACGAAAGTTGTGGCTACAAAACAGGAATTTTTGACGCAAAAAGACATTGTGATGAAGCTTGGCATAGCTCATATACTGTTAACAAGCCCATAAACAAGATTTAAAAGTTCACAAGCTTCCAGCCACGCCCCCTGTTTTTATGAAGGGAATAGCCAAGGAAACTGGAATTACAGCAAACCCGTTCATTTACTTACCTGTCAGATCTCTCGATATAGATGCAAAGGACTTTGTGCCTTTGGTCTGCTTAGGGCTCCACTTGTAAGTCTTAGACCTAAGACATTAGCTGGTGTATGGAAAGCTACATAAAGAGGAGTATTGACATAGTTGTTCTATGAAGAATCCTGGTTATATGCAACCATTGTTACCAAGCAGAGTAATCAGGGAGCGCATTCTCAGTGGAAAAAATACGGTCTACACTACTAGTGTGTGTCGAATTTAATGATCGTTTCTAAGAAATGTAAATGATTTTCTATACATTTGAAGACTTTCTCAACATGAACTCTTCCATGTTACGAATGGTGATACAAGTTCTGTAGACGTTCATAGCACTAATTTTAAAAGTAAGGCCTTATTTAGGGTGCAAATAGTATTGCTTGTATTTTAATATAATGGTAGATATAAAAAATGGTGTTAAAATTGGTCAAACTATTGTAAA